GTATTTTAGTACCCTCACAGAGTTGTGCAACGTGTCTCAATCAATTTTAGAATTCTGTCATGACATCTGGTACTCATTAGCAGGCACTCTCTGTTTTCCTCAATCCTGAGTCTCAGCCCTTGGCAACCACCAGTCTACTTTCTGTCTACAGATTTGCATGTCACTGACATTGCATATACATGGAATCATACAGTATGTGGTCTTTGCTACTGGCATAACTCTTGAAGACTCATCCATGTTGTAGAGATAGCATTTAATCCAGGCAATCCCTGGGTTGTACACGTCTGATATATGAACAACTCCCGCTGGCCCAGTCTTTGAACCAGTTACATCATGACCAAGGAAGCAAAATCAGAACAGTCCTGAATTGTTACAGTTTGGGTGTTTAATCATGATAACCAGAGAAAATTATATACGGAAGCCCTAGAGTGGAAGACTCAAAAGAAGTGTAGTGAGTCATTTTGGAACCCAAAGCATGAGATTGGCTTATTAAAAAGCACATGCATGCAAGGCTGCCACATCCTTGCAAAGCCCTGCTTTAATGCTATGTAAATTTGTCTTCACTTTGAAATGTTTGAATCAATCCCTGGTGGAGGTAGTGGTGGTGTACCCTGGAGTCATTCCGACTTATTGTGATGGTTATGTGCCGTGGAATCGGTTCCAACTCATAGCGACCCTGTACAGGGTTTCCGAGACTGTAAATCTTTACGGGAGAAGAATGTATTGGCTTTCCCAGGCTGCATATCTTTACAGAAGCAGAAAACCTCATTTTTCTCCCACAGAATTGTCTGACAAAACCAAACTGCTGATCCTGTGGTTAGCAACCCAATTTGTAACCTGCTCTGCTTCCAGGGTTCCTGGAATCAGCCTGTACTCATAGCAAATTGTTCATTATGGTCACTTTTGCTTTGCTGCATGTGTAGCTTGTAATTCATTGAAAAAGGCTTAGAGCTTCTTTTTACACTTAAGTTTTTAAATTAAAACTTTATGCACCTGTTTTGACTAACCAAAAAACATTTAATGACACAGATAGGAATGAATCTTGTTCATAACCTGGGGACTGCCTGTATAAATAATGTTTAACCAAGTATTAGAAAACTAAGAAAGAGAATAAATACTAGGGTACCATGCACATAGCACCTGTAGGATTGATTAAATATTGACACCTCGTGCTCGGGGAACCAAGGATATGTTAGAATTATTAAAATTTAGAAGCTTGAGGATATGCCCTGCAGAACTGAGGTGTTGCTAGACTGATTCTGATGCCTCTGGATCGCTGAAAGGAGCCCATGATGCGCAGCCTATAAATCTCTGACTGGTTGGTGCTAGGGTGTGTTATGAAACTGGTTCTGCAAGTGTTGGGAGAAAAAAAAACAAAAAACAATTTGAACAAAGAAGTTTTACCCCAGGATGTTTCTGTTAATAGGGCCATACATACTGACAGAACCAGGAAGCAAACAAAGAATAGTGTCCCTTCTTCTCCACCCTTCCACACTCCTTTTATTGGCAGAGCCCAACAGGTTCCTATTTCCAGCATCATAAAATAGTCAGAAAGGGTGGACTTGAAGCTGAGAACCTGATTACCTGCACAAACTCCAGTAGGTTGAATGACTTAGAAAATGGCTGAGTGCGAATATGTATAATAACTATTATTCTAGTCACTTGGTGAGAGCCCCAGATTATTCTAGAACAGATTTTTTTCACCAATTGATAAAATAATATACCTTTAACTACCAATAGCTTTAATTAAACAGAAAACATGGAGCTGAGCAAAGTCAATATTTTACACACCAGGTAATAAAACCTGGTTTTATTTTACAGACCAGTCAATGAAACACACATTTTTTTTGGTGCTGCTATGAAAGAAAATATATGTTGGTAAGACATCAGTTTTAAGATGTAACTTCAGAAATGTTTAAATATAAAAAATGTTTTAGAATTGAAGAAATATAGTATGCTAATTTATTTTTGGATAATTGTAGATAATCCTGAAAGTGTTCTTTGTAATAGCTGATGTGATGTAACAGAGTTAGGCTCTAAAATCAGATTGTCCGGAATCAAGTTTGTCCACTTGTAAACTTTAGTTTCTCTGTGCCATTTCATAGATACTTTTTCATTTGTTAAGTAGGAAGTACTAATAGTGTTTAAGTTGAAAATGTGTTGTGAAAATTAAATTAGATGATTCATTCATGTAAAGTGATTACCATACTGCAAAGTAGTGTGCACGGTGTGGTAAAAATACATTAAATGATCATTGTTATTAGGGGTCAAGATCTTAAAAAAAAATGGACAGTATTCTGAGGAAATAATGCCTAGTTCTTCTGGACTGTTGAGGGACAACAGTTTAATTTCTTGCTAAAAGAATGAGATGAGCAAACATCGCTATCACTTTTATTTGTGTATACTCTATGATGTGCTTTTATACTAGCTAGAATGTATTTATTTCAATTTCTTTGTCCTCATTGAGATTGGATATATCAAAAACCAAACCCACACCCACTGCCATTTAAGCCAATACTGATTAGCCCTGGGTTTTTTAAGGGTTTCCAAAATTTTATTTACGGAAGGAGACAGCTTCATCTTTTTTCTCCCACAGAGCGACTGATCAGTTTAACTGCCAACTTTGTAGTTAGCAATCCAGTGCCTAACCCACAGCACCACGAGGGCTGCTAAGGATTGGATATTAGAAGATAGAAAAGTTATGTGTACTCTGTAAGATGAAAATATTAGGAGAATCATTAGAATATGATAGGTAATTTGTTGGAAAATGCCAACTGAGGCCATGAAGTATTGTTGTTAAGTGCCGTTGAGTCGGTTCCGACCCATAGCGACCCTGTATAGGGTTTCCAAGGAGCAGGTGGTGAGCTTGAACCACTGACCTTGCAGTTCAAATGGCTTTGCAGTCTGGTGCATTATTAAAATCCTTGGTTCCTAATGAAGGTCTCCTGGTGTGGCGCTACATAATAAGCACTGGACTGCCAAACACAATGTTAACCGTTCAAAACCACCAGGCGTTCCTTGGAAACCCAATTTAGGGTCCATATGAGTCAGAATTGACTTGACGGCACTTAACAACATCAAGGTCTCAGCTTTAATCTTATCACCTTGTTCAAGACCTTTTTGTTTTGTTTTTAATGTCACAATTAATATATTTGCTTTTAGCAAAGCTTAGATTTTAATCCTATGTTTCTTAAGTTTGGTAATAGTCACTGTAAGTATATCATTTTACCTTTCAAATGATACTCATTTATATAAAATTACTGGCTTTTCTTGTCCTTTAGGTGGCTTTCTTTCAGATGCAGGCTGGTACAGTGATGCTGAGAAAGTTTTTCTGTCTTGCTATCAGTTGTGTACTATACATGATGAGATGCTTCATTGGTTTCGTGCAGTAGAATGTTGTGTGAGGTAAGTTGGAACAAATCCTACAATTATATGCTGGAATAGTTCTTGGTGACTTTTATAGTTTTAGTTCTTCTAATTGTCTACAGAAGGAACAGTCAGGTAATCAAGTGGCATACCACACTGGGCACATCTTCAGTATACTTCTGTAAAGTCTTAATGAACAAAGTTGTTGTGAGTTGGAATGAGCTGGAACACAAACACCCAAGTGTAAGGCTTTATTGAAGGTCTGGAGGGGAGGGAGAGAGAGTATTGCTGGGAGAAGGACTTTTATACTGGTAAAAGAGGAGGGCGGGGTTGAGAAGAGTGGGGGTAAGTGATAGGTTGACTAGGGATGCGTGCAGGTAGGGAGAGAGGAAGTTCCGGGAGGGAGAGTGAAAGCGCGGCAAGCAGCCATTTTATTATGCACGTGGATGAGAGATTCTATCAGTTGTCACTTTGATGACTAAAGTGTACCTGACCCAAACAATCATGTCGCATGAATGCAAAAGTTAGACAGTAATAATAAAAGAAGACAGAAGAAGAATTGATGCTTTTGAATTGTGGTGTTGGCAAGGACTACCAGAAGAGCTAGTAGCCCTGGTAACATAATGGGTTACGTATTAAGCTACTAACTTCAAGGTCAGCAGTTCGAATCTACTAGCTGCTCTGAGGGAGAAAGCTGAAGCTTCCCTTTCCCATAAAGGTTTACAGCCTCGGAAACCCTATGCAGTGTCACTATGAGTTGGAACCAACTCAATAACATACACTAAGGGAAAAGCGAACAAATGTATCTTGGAAGAAGTATAGCCAGAATGTTCTTTAGACTCGACGATGGCAAGACGTCATCTTACTTACTTTGGACATGTTGTCAGGAACAATCAATTGCTAGAGAAGGGGACATTTAATATATTTGGAAGTGGAGAGTAAGCAAGAATGAGGGAAATCGACAGTAAGAAGAATTGATTTAATAGCTTCAACAGTTCTTAAATGCTATCTAGTTGATTCCGACTCATAGCAACCCTGTATAAGGTTTCTGAGGAGCGATTGATAGGTTTGCACTGTTGACCTTATGGTTTAAGCTGACCTTGTGATCCATTGGTTTATCTTGTAGCACCACACACAGCCTCAGCATATCAAAAATATGTTACATTTCCAGAATCGTGTTTAACAAGATTAGTATTTTACTTATAAATACTGTTTTCTTTCAAAATATTTTCCCTACAGATATATTTAAAGTAAAAGCGAGCAAATCTAAGCCTGAGATGCCTTGATGCATCTCTGTCCCATCTTGGATTTTTTTTTTCTTTTAGTGTTAATAATATACCTTTGATATCTTTCTCGTTTTTTGTTTTAACTACAATATTTTATCATTTCACCATACTTATTCAGTCTGTATGCTAAGCAAATAATCTGAGAAGCTGGACTATATGAAGAAGACCATGATATCAGGATTGGTGGAAGACTCATTATCAGTCTGCATTATGCAGATGATTCAACTGTGCATGATGGAAACCAAAAGGACTTGTGAAGTACATAATGAGGAATATCACAGCCTTCAATATGGGTTGTACCTTAATATAAAGGAAACAAGAATCCTCATAAATGGACCAGCAAATAAATAACATCATGATAAATGAAGAAAAGATTGAACTTGTCAAAGATTTTATTTTACTTGTATCCACAATCAATGCTCGTAAAAGCAGCAGTCAAAAAATCAAAAGACATGTTGCATTAGGCATATCTGTCACACAATACCTCTTCTAAGTGTTCAAGAACAAAGTCAGTTTGAGGACTAAGGGTGCTCCTGAGCCAAGCCATAGTATTTTCAGTTGCTTCGTATGCATGTAAATGTTGGACAGTGAATAAAGAAGACTGTAGAAGAATCAGTGCATTTGAATTATGGTCTTAGAGAAGAATATTGAAAATACCAAGGACTGCCAGAAGAATAAACAAATCTGTCTTGGAATACATGTAGTCAGAATGTTCCTTAGAAACAAGAATGGTGACATTTGTCTCTTGTAGTTTGGACCTGTTTTCAGGAGGGATCAGTTCCTGGAGAAGGACATCATTTTTAGTAAAGTGGAGAGTCAGCAAAAAAGAGGAAGACTCCTGAGTGAGATGGATTGACACAGTGGTAGCACCAGTAGGCTCAAACATAACAACTGTGAGCATGGTGCAGGATTGGGCAGTGTTTAATTCTGTTGTGCATAGGGGGTTGCTCCAAGTCTCAACTGACTGGCTGGCACCTAGCAACAACAGCAACAGTTTTTGTGGGAACAAAGGCTCCTACTTCCTTGTTTGTTCAATCTAAATAGTGTACAAGCTAGGATATAGATTCTTGATTTAAACTGAAATAGAATAAAGCTCATTTAAGACTTGCCAGTGTTAGAAATAGTTATCCTGGGCTTAGTTTTGTTGTATAGCAATTAATTAATATATTAGAAGTTTATGATAATCATTCACAGATGTTTTAGACATATATGGTAAGTTATACAAATATTTTTGTGCTTAAACTATAAAGGTAGTGGTATTTTGGCATTAAATGTTTATGTTGTTGAGTGCTGTTTAGTCGATACTACTAAAAGTACTGTCCTTCGTCTTCATCTTCCTGCCCTATTGTTATCTACTATCTAGGTAATAATAGGAGATTAGATCCATGTAGGGTCTTTGGGGTAGTAATGTTTCTGTTTTCATGAATGTAAATTTGGAATTGAAAAGCCATTTTGTATACTTTCATTGTAGCTTCTTCTTTAGCAGTCTTTTGACCAGAACATAAAGCATTTTCTTTATATATGTGTCTGCCTTTTATTTTTTAAATGTGGATGATAACAGCAACAAATATATATGTAGAAAATTATTTGCCAGTGCAACGTTTTTTCACATATACTACACATCAGTGAAATTGTGTTCGTCATGTTATTAAATAACCATTGCTACTATCCATTTTCAAATTTTCCCATCACCCCTAACAAAACTCAGTGTTCCCTAAGCAGTGAGTCCCCTTTATACCTCCTTCCCACCCATCCTTGGATTACTAATAAAGTGGTCTGTATGCATTTGCCTTTCTTAGACAGTCTGTATAAATGGAATCATAAAAGGAATATTTGTCCTTTTGTGACTGACTTATTTCACTAAGCATAATTTTCATCTATGCTGTAATATGTAGCAAGACTTCCCCTCTCTGTGGCTGAGTACTATTCCATTGTATATATGTAGCATGCATTTTCTTTATCTATTCGTCTTTTAATGAACATTTAGGCCCTTTCTACCTTTGGGCTCTAGTGAAAAATGCTGCAGTGAGCATTGGTGTAGAAGCAGTTTCTGCTTTCATTTCGTTTGGCTTTATAGAGTAAAATTTCTAGATATGCTCCTCGGAAACCCTGTACAGGGT